ATGGGTGACATAGAGTCGTGCTTTCAAAGAAAGTGGGTTTGTTCAGTTTGAGAAAAAATGTTTTGATTTCATAATATGTTCAAGCTGTTGTAACTAGGAGATAAAAGGAAAAAGGCAGGATTGAAAACCTAGGGTTGTGTTTCCTTGGTAAAAATTGTGACACTGGTAGTTGTAGCTGCTACTGATTGGACCCTTTTTTTTGAAGGACTATTTTCTCTTTATGAAAGTAAAAGTGTAGAAGGGTGATATTATTCCAAAAAGCTATGTAGGTTGTGAGAGTAATAAAGGTGAAACTGTCGCCTTTGATGTTTCTGGAAGCCATCTGGTTAGAGTTGTCAATAGTCAAGGATATATAGATAGAGAGGAGGGTAGCATTAGTAGCCTGTGTGAAAGGGAAACAAGGAGAATCACTACTGGTATTTTATGGAAATTTGAGAGCTGTGTTGTCAAGAAAAGAGCAAAGACATTTAAGCTGTGGTTGAGTCTTAGTAGATTACTCAATGAGTTGTCTCGCAAGTCCATTTAGATTTAGTTTTACTGATCATTGTTAGAGCAGTTTTGCGTATTTATTAGCAATTGAAAGTCTTGTAGTCGATTGTTAAGAATCAGTCTTTGGGTTAATATTTCCACGGTATTCTACAAGAACAAGAAACCGGTCAGCCTCTCAGTTGAGTGTTTTGTCAGTATAAAGAGTTGTATTCCTTATGGTAGTTTTCTTTGTCGTTTATATGACTCTTTTCAATATAGAAAACTCGGTCTGTAACTCTGCAACAGGTTTTAAAGTGTAAACGATATTTGCACTTTTTGTAAAACCCATTCATTTTCAGGATAGCATAGGAATGTTTTGAGTCCATCATTGCACATTTTTAATGATTGATGTCTTTTGAAATATTATTTGTGAGGCCTTAGAAAACGACACCCATGAGGTTTGACAGTTTTTGAAAACGAAAGCTGAATAAACTGGCTTTTTGAAAGCAAGAAAAAAGTTTTCAATTCAAAATATACTCACATTGTTGGGAACCATGAAATAAAGCAGGGAAAATTGGCACTGCTGAAAGTCTTGGTTGCGTCCACCTGGGTAAAAGGTTGTGACGATGGCGACTGTAGCTACTAGTCCGTTTTGAGAAACGTTTTTGTTTTTATGAATTACTGGGTTTACCGAGGGTGAAATATGTCTAAAACAACATGTGAGTAGTAAGAGTGAGATAGTGTTGGAACTAGTATTGATAGTGTTTTGAAAGGCATCTATTGCAAATCGTCATTGGTTTCTAATATAGTTGAAGAGGAGGGTAACATTAGTAGTACGGTGTGAATGGGAAACAAGGCGACTTGTGTGAAACAGTATTTGCGTGTCAAGAGTGCTGCTGATCTGTTTTTTTCCCAACACACTGAAAGTCATGCTGTTGAAAGTAGTGGTAGTTGTAGCTGTCAAAAAGTGAAAAGGAGACACAACATTTTGTGCAAACAGGTTGCGTTTGGATAGTATACAAAGTAGCTCTGAAAGAAACTCATGAAGGATTGGTTGAACTTCTACAATGTTACACAAGTGCACACGTTGATGTCATCGTGTCCGACTAGAGTTTTTGGTTTGACTCTGAAAATAAAGTCCAACTTTTGGTAGATAATTCCTAGAAAGCATACGCAGACGAACAAAGTAGTTTGCACATTGGCACAAACCATAAAGCATTTTTCTATTATCGCAGCAAAATCAAACCATTAGCCACTGCTTGAAATTCAACCACATGAACAACAACAGATATGAGCCCGAGCCTAGTAAAGTATGGCATAGTCATCAATTCTACAAAGAGAATGACTTGTGTTTCTATCTTTTACTTTTTTCTTCGTTGTTGGCATGAGCGGAAAAGTGTCATTGTTTTATTTACTTGGAATTGTAAACAGACAACAACAACGACAACAACAACAAGGGAAAGTATAATGTATTGGTTAGTGGTACATGGAATATTAATAATAGTTTTTGTCATAAAAGTACGAATTTGACCTATTTTTTTACCATACAGGAAAATTGTATTGTTGACTTTACAAAATAAAAAGGCATTATTTGCACACTTACGACTATTCCTGCACCTCACTATCAGTAGAACTACATACGGTCCTGATTTTGAACAACAAATAGAGTATCGAGTTGCTTTACTGGTCGATTTTCGATTTTTCTTGTACATGTTTGAGACTAATCTTTATCTTTTGATTCTTGAAACGAACTTGTTTGTTATCTCATGATAGTATGATGAAGCAATTAGTCGTCATTTCTTTTCGGAAAGCGTCGACGTAAAAACTTTTCAGAAGCTTTTTCATTGGAAATCTCAATCACAAAGAATCTCTTTGTCCCTTGATAGTTGCGTTGCATTTGTAGGGATAGGCAATTGATAGTCCAAGTGATCAACTCGAGACAATTTCGTCAGTTGAATCAAGTAATCTTTGACAAGTGAACTTGCAGCATCATGAAAGTGTACAGCATACTGTTTTATGTGATCTAGAATCTACTACTGATTTATCTGAACATATTGTAATGCTCTCATGTTGAAACCATCTTATGCTTATTTGTGCTTCAGAACATTTCCATCTTTTTTCTTCGACCCTCAGACCAGCTTCATATGGAGTAGTCATCTAGTTGATAAGGATAAGATAATATCTCTATCTCGTTTTTTCTCTTCTTTATTGGCGTAATTGTAGAATGGTGAAAATCTTGTTTCTTAGAGTTGTAATATGTTGTAAAAACAATAGAATGCTCATTGTACAATAAAAGGGACGAAGATGATAGAAAGTAGTATTCAAAGACTGCGGTATGGTGTAAATTCAAAGAAAGAATCAACTAGATTGCAGTCAAAGTTCTATATAAACGATTTGCTGGAAATAGAAATTGAACTTGTCTTAGCACGAAATACTGGTTGTTTTCCCTTATTCTTATAAATTGTCATAAAAGACAAAAATTTATGTTTTACATAGTATATACTTTTCAATGAAAGAATATAGAAAGGTCAGTTGAAAGAACTTCAAGGAAAAGAAGTAAATGAATGCTTCCTTGGTTTCACAGGGTTAAAATATCAGACCTATGGTTTATAGATTTTGAGGTTGATCCTCACAAAAAGCAGAATCAATTCTGTGATTTTTACACAAGTAGCAGCAGAACATAAATTGATAGTCATGTTCTAATTTCAGGATCTTTTTGTATATCCTTTGATGCTTGAACCTTTTTACAACCTTTGATGGTTTTCATCCACCTCTTTATCTTGGACTATTACCACAATTGATTCAAGTGATAAATGACAATGTATTTATGCCATACCAATACCTTGTTTCTATTGATGAGTTGAATTTGAATCTTATTTCATAGTGACATCAGAAACAATTCTGGTTACAGCTGTATTGAAAGAAGTAATAATCACTTGCTTTCGAGTACTCTGAATCTTACCACTTCTAGTTAAATCTCAACGGGATATGGCACAATTATTCTAGTAGATACGTAAGAAAAGGTCTATTTGATTTCTTCTTTCTCAACTTATCTAGAAACTGGTTACTGTTTTATATTACTTGAATTGTATACTGAATTCAGTGATTTTCTGTTCATTGGAAAGAAAGTAAGATATTTCTTGATACTGGTCATTTAAGATGACTTTTTGTGTAGGAGTTGGTCATTTGTTGTTTACTAGTCGAATGTTTCATCAAGACGAAATTCTGTTTCATAAGTTAATGAAATGTCGTCTATGGTTGATTCGACTTTTTGAATTCTTAAAGATTATACTGAATTTATCGAACGCATTAGTCCGTATCCCGAGAAAAACGATTTGTCATATAGTATTAATAGTAGTATTATTACTGAGGATACAGAAGACTAGGGAGATGAAGACTTGGTTTGAGAAAAACTTGGTAGTGTTTGAGTGTCCAATTATTAATCCGCAATATTGGATACGTTTTCGTTGATCATTTCATTCTGAATAGTTTCATGAATCTACTCAAGCGATGAATTGTAATGTATCTTTACAGTGCCACGAATGTAATACTACCAGTTTATATATTTTGATATTAACTGGTTGTTTGCTTAGATATAACTACGTTAACCTTTACTTGATTCAATTGATTACTACTTGTTTTTTGAAGTGCTTTTAGTTATACTATTTCGTTCCAACCAAGCATTACTGGGTACGCTATAGTCACTTCGCAGATAAGAATCAGATGTCAATCTTTTTTCAAGTATTCGCATCTAAATGCGTTGATTGTTAGAAACGTTCAAACTTGACTATTGAAATATAGCCCTAATAATTAATGGAGTCAATGTGTTAGACAAGATAACGGCACAACTCGATGCATACAAAACTTGAATCAACGTTTTCATTCAAAATCAATTAGTTGGTCGTAAGAATAATATGCGCTTTTATCTTTTAGGGGGTATCTACGAGAGAGTTGTTTGAATTGTCATTATGTGGACATTGGGTTATCCAATAGAGTTTCTGTTAGATAGTGTTTTTATAGGATGACTTCTTTCAGGTAGAATTGATACTTTATTGACTACTAGTTGTCGAGTTGATAAAGACTTTGTACCTTTGCACTTGAAATCTTGTTGTTGTATGTACAGAGTCTTTCTATCCGAAGCAGTGTTTTATGTGGTCTTTAGGTACCCTGTATGCTTGATTCAGCGTCGAATTGTCCAAGATTATCTTGAATTGTCTAAAATAATTTAGTCTTTAATCTAAAAGGATGATTTACAGACTATTATTTGGATCACTTAGAATCAAGTCGAAGATGAATTCATTCGAGAATCACTAGGTGAGAATCCGAATTGCAGCAAAGCATCAATTTTCCCTTGATATTTGTATGCTGTTTGCACTACTGGACAGGTGGTCGACCATAATTCAGTTTAGGTACATTTTTCTAGAATATTGAGAAGATGTTACTATTGATGAGCATAGATCAATCAGCATCCACCATTCTTGTATCTGTACGGAATTCAATTGAGCTTTGTTTGAATCCAATTGTTCCTATCAATATTGGTGGAGCACGTTCTCGTTTTGCTGTCTTGGTACTAAGCTCAACTTGCGTCATAGAATCATTATTTTTTTTGATAAAGTCATTGTGCTAAAAGTCTATTGCTTGTTTCTATTGACTGGTCGGAGAGTAGTCATCATCTTGTTATCTTGTCTTTTCAAGAAAGTTGCAATTACTGAACACTAAAAACTGAACTTTTATTGTAAAAAAGTATAACAGCGATAAGCTATGTTATTCATAGACCACGGAATCATTTGATTTAGAAGAAGATTCAACTAGAT